ATTGTCTTGATGCACTGTTTGCACTTTGTTTTGTTTTTTACACTTGTTTTACAATTGAGAGACTTTCTGTAAGTAAGAATTCCATTGTACCAGTATCGGTTACATATGGCAATAAAGTTCAAGTTCAAGTTCAAGTTCATATCCTGCTAACCTTCCTAAGAAATTATGTTTTTCTTTTTCTATTTTACTTGGGTGTTTGGTGTGTTTTTTATTTTGGGTTAGATTGAGTTTTATTATACTGGGCAATAACTACAAAATGGGCAGGGAAAGACTTGGAAAATTAACACAGTAAATATGCAGACTTCTCATGTGCGAATTCTTCAGGCTGCATTATTGCAAGCAGCAATGTCAACGCTATGCTGGGGTGTTGAGTGGCATTTGAGAGTTTGGGAGGATACAATTCCCAATTGTGCCCCAGGACAAAACTGTTATATTTTGATTAAGTACACCTTTACCTGACAGAAAAAAAAATGTTTTGGGGCAGTGGTTTTAACTAATGGGGAAAAGCTCTTGGAACTTTAAAATTTGTACTGAACAATGTTTTAATCTCTTGTCCTAGAAGTGTTGGTATTGGGATTTTTTATGAAACAGTAAAGAAATGTATAAAAGAAGAGCAGTGTAAGAGCAGGTTTTACCAAGTCCCATGTCGGGTTGAGTTAATATCACAATACATTATGCATTTTCACACTGATGAGCCACTAACATGGGCTATTATTCAGGATCTTGAAGGTCCCCTATGTACTCCAGTTTATGCTACTTCTGAGCTTGAAATGGTTTGTAGAAAATCAATCTACATTCAAGCAAATAAGTTACAGGCACCAGTTTGTACCAGTAACTACTGTAAGCACCCAATTGGAACAAAAAAAGCAGACACAGGTGTCCTCCAGAAACAGGACTGAGGACCCTTGAATAATGCTTTGTTCATCCAATGCTGCAACCATCATAAAATGTCTCTAAACAGCAATTAAACTAGTTTCAGAGACAATCTCAAACTTCACTTGAGGTCAAAGAACATTTCCATGTATCCATCTACAGGTGCACAACTCCAGTCATAAAGAAGTCATGGTCAGAAGATTTCTTTTTTTTCTTCTACCTGATACCTTGATTACATGGTTGAGCGCATTATTTGCTTAATTGGACAAGCTGAAACATTTCGTTGTTGTAAGGTGCAGATTCTGAGAGACGTATAAAATCTGCTGCACAGTGACAAATGAGGACCAGAACTGAACAGCTCTGGCCTTAGCAGTTCTCCAGTGGGTGTGTGACCATAATGTACAACCTAGTGCTCAATGGACATTATAAGATTACATTTCCCCTCAAAGCTGAGATGCCTTCTACTGGGTTTGTGGGATATCACAAGACAAATGTCACTTTTGTTTCATTTTCCTTACATGATGCTGTGATTTTCCATATGTCTGCAGTTTAAATGGCATTTTTGCATTAAATATTTTCACTTAGTTACTTTTGACCATCTGCACTACACCTGCAGACATCCACCCTAGTGTTTTCAGATAACATTTTTTCACCAGACTGGACATTCAACAGATTAAATGACCTCTTCTCCTGTTCCAGATGAACTCTTTCACTAATGTTGTGATTTAGTGTTTAAGCAACAATCAGATTCACTTGAGCATATTATAATCAGCCATGAATGATCAGACAATCAAAATTACTTTGAAATCATTTAATCAATATTCAAAATACTTGATTTATTTTCAAAACATATATGCAGAATGTAATTAATTTATTTTTTAGTTCATTATTAAACTGGAAAACATCAGTTACTGATAGTATTATAAGGGAAATTAAGCATGAAATAAAATTGTACTTAAAAGTCTATGGAACAAGTAATAGGTTTATTCCATGCTGAAAAAAAGAAAGAAAACACAATGTTTCAGCCATGGAGCCTTCTTCAGCCTTCTTCAGGTGTCATGGCCACCTCCACGGCCGAAACGTTGTGTTTTCTTTTTTCTTTTTTTCAGCATGGAATAAACCTATTACTTGTTCCTTTGCAGCCTTCGTATGCTGATGCAGCTACCCACCTGAACTTAAAAGTCTATGTTTTGAAAATAAGTTATTAAGTGTTTAAACTAATAATACCCTATTTAAAAAGCTTTAAAACTTCAAATTAATGTGTATTTGTAATAAAAGTGAAGAGAATATATAGGTTTTACATAATAAATTGGTCTATGTGTGGCCTATGAGTGCAGATAAGGCCATCATCGATTTACGATTTACAGGATGATAAAGAGCTTAAGTGTTAGACAAATAACCAATTAAAGTTAAAATTTTAGTAACAATTTTAAATTCTACACTGTAACTGGAATCCAGTGCAGTGTGGCTGACATGGAAGTCATATATGCTCTTTCTTTCTCATTTTCTTTTTTCACTAGCATCTGTGTGCTGCACAAGCTGTGAGGATGACAGGCAATTACAAGCATAAATATCACCATTACTGATGTACAATACAAGTACAGAAAAAAAATACAAGATGAAGTGTCCCCAGTCCCTTAGTGTTTTCCAAACCATAACAGAAATAATCCCACATATGTATCACCTGTATTTTGCAATATAAGAAAACAAAATGTTTATTACAAGATCATCCACCACCAGAACAATTTTAAACAAAAAACAATAACCCTGATACTAAAACCAAATTTAAACAAAAACAAAATAAGAGCATTCTTCCCATTAAGTTTGGAATTACATGAAAATAAATATCGATAAGAGATATGTTTTAACCACATAAAATGATTCTCAGTTGCAATATTAGATCTTATTAAAGCTAGTGTCTACAGAACTATTTATAGTGATCATCTCAATGGGCTCCCTGCAGCAATGTTCCACACCTGTAAAATCACAAGCAGCAAAAAACATTGAGTGCCAGAGATCTACAGTAACAATTTTAGGTAAAAAGCCATACACTTTGGACAGTCAAGGTAAACTGGACAGATGTCCACTGTTGTAGGGGGAAGTTAATTTAAAGCAGGGGGATTCCCTGAAAATAGTGACAAGTAGGTAGTCCCAGAAGAAACAACTGTACTTGCCTAGGGACAAAAGGGAAACAAAGGGAACAAAGAAGTTTGGAATAAGTGGTAAGAAGCCTACTGACAGATTGTAGCCCAAACTGCAGGAAAGATAAAGGAACAGGATCCATCTCCACAGCTACCAAACCAAGCATGAGTAATAAGTTGAAATATGCTCTCCCGATGTTAGGAAGTGAATAAACCAGATCAGTTGTAAATTAAAGGCAAATGTACTATGCTGTGTTGACATACTATAGGATTCAAAGTCTGAGTATGTGTATTGGGAGGAAAATGGCACAATATCTGCTATTTGAAGGTGTTTTCTTGTGTGGTCTGTTTTTGTACATCATGCACCTTGTCTCAGATGGTGATACTGTTTTCTATTGAGGAAGGACTCAAGTACTCGTAAGGGAGTTCTTGAGTCTTTGATCTCCTGTCGATGTAGTCCTCGATTTTCTTCAGTACTTCATTGAATTCTTCAATAGGACCTTTCATTTTTGGTTCATGTTTCACCTCATCAGAGTATTGCCCTAAAAGGTTCTGTAAATAGAAATATGTTATCTGTGAATTCTATCACTTACTTCTCAGAAGCACCAAGAGAATTCATGTGTTATAGCAAGGAGATTATAGAGGTGTATATAAATACATAAATAATATTTTTTTGTTATTTTAGAAAATAAAACATAATTCTCTGCACCGACTTAAAAAAAGAAAATAAGAAAAGCAAACCCAAATTTAATGTAACATGAAAAAACTATCCTGGCAAAGGCTTTTTTTTTGTGCGTGATGACACCTTGACAGAGTTTAATAAATGGTAATGAAGTTGAGTGTGCTTCCTGGTTTTAACAAGAAAGTTAAAGGGTTATTCTTTGCATGTTTTAGCATCATTTTATTTTGTGCAATTTTCTAACAAGAAACCTCAGAATGTGTGTGGTGTTGGTGTGCTGTGAAGCCTTTGTCTCCTACAACTAGGAGTGAAAAACCTTTCAGTCCATAAATATGTTGTGAGTGTAATGTAACAAATGATATGCTTTTTCTTTTAACATGCCAGTCAAAGTAGTGTCAATTTAAGAACAAATTGTGCTCTGTTTAAACTTTAATAAGTAGCAGTAAGAAGAAAATATGATTTTAAAGCACCACAAACCTGTTTGAATAATAACATTATTCAAGACAGGAAGAAATACAGATGAAAATAAGTATTGGGTTAACATTTCCTGCTGAGTATGTTTGCATTTTCCATGCGGTATAGGTGTTTGTACACTCACTCTAGAGGGTGGCTGGCTGAGGAAATGGGCCACAGACATGGATTCCAGGGTGACGTTGATGTCTGGCAGAGTGTTCATGATGTACTCCTCAGTGACGTCCTCCTTCAACTTGGGAGGAGGCTGCCTCATTGTTGTTGGTCCATTGGGCATCCAGGCATAGGTGTCGTACTGTAGGCAAAATCAGTTTATAAATCATGTTAGGGAGAAAAATCAGAGCTGTCCTTTATCAGCTTTCATTAGATGAATTCCAAAGTCTTTTGTCAGATTCAAAGTAAGAGCCTGAGCATTTTGGCTGATCATTATACAATCATGCACTTTTATTCTTTCTTCTTAAAAGCAGTGGTCTTGTAAACATGCACCTCCCTGCCTTTGTCTTGACATCTTTGCCTCTCTACTATTTTAAATGTATATATTTTAAAGGGTTATTGAATCATCACAGTGAACCATAAATTTATCATTTTTACCACCCTCCCTGTTATACAGTATATACAGCAATCCTAATTAGGTGTTCCCTAAAGAATGATGACACCTCCTTGATCCCTTTTTCACTTATTCTCCATCCTTTAATGAAGAGTGGTGGAAACATATTGCAAATGATTCCAGTGTTGCTCTGTATTTCAAACTCAAAAGAGTTTACTTCAGTTATCCCACAGCAGGTAAATAAGTCTAAGATTATTTCTTGTAGATGAAGTTATACCTGAATGACCTCTGGAAGGGATACAGTACCTGGCCATTGTTAACTGCCGCGTGTAGGGCTGAGCAGGTGAACATGATTGTCGTGAGAAACTTTGCGGTATCTTCTCTGGTTTCTAGAGTGTTGGGCCAACCACCTAATCATTTTTAAAAAATTGAGAAAAATACTCTACATGAATAATCACAGTATATAATGTTTTCTTCCAGAGGTGTTCATAAGATAAAAAAACAGGTTTCCAAAAGCCAGATCAAAAATGTAGGTATTTAGTGAAACATACAGCAAGTTTCTGATTTTCCTTCTTGAAGGAATACCTGCTATGAAATCTTAGAAGATTTAGACTTCTCCAAAATGATTAGAGTAACTTAGTTATGTTTTCGTGGATGTCAAAGTGATTATGTCTCTTATTTTTTTCACTGGTTAAAATAATTTAAAACAGTAAACAGATAGATACCAGACTCTGACATGGGACATCAATGCAGTAAAAACAGGGAATTTTTAAGATGGATGGCAGTAAACTATTTGGTGAAAGCCAAATTTAGAATTAGTTATATTCTAGAATATTCTAGAAAAACACACATTTATATAGAAATGGACACAGAGCCAAGTCTTTCCAAATTAATCCTATTTTGCTGTGTGTTGGGCATGTCTTGATAATGTGGGAGCTGGGCAGTGTAGTTACTGTGATGTGTTTTTTGAATTGTACTGTAGGTCTTGGGATAGTTTGGACATGGAGCAGTCACACAGTAATAACAAGGGAGAGGAAAACTTGGGAAGGTAGAAATCCCTGCTGGGATGATGAAGCACCCCCACGCTCAGCAAAGTCTCTGCCCCCAGAGTCATTATGGAAAAGAATGGGCCTTGGGGAGTTCAAGTCTGTAACCGAAAGTATTAGTTAATTGCTTGTCTCTTTCCTATGTATTTCATACTCTCCAATAAATCTGTTCAGCCTATGCATGTGTATGTGGTTTCATTAGATATATAGAGGTTGAGAGATGTCATGTAGGTATTTATTTGGCCTACTGCATAAATGTAGGCTTGGCTCTTGAGGAACAGGGTTGCCCTCCTCACTGTTCGTGTAATGACCTAAGCTTGAATCATTGATTTGATAAGAATAAGAATAAGAATAGACATTCTTCACATCCGAAGGACAGCACCCTGTTTTTACAGTACAGTGTCCCCATTACAATACTAGGCCATTAGGACCCACACAGACTGCAGGGTGAGTGCCCACTACTGGTCCCACTAAAATCTCTTCCTGCAGCAACCTTAGCTTTTCACCAGGAGGTCTTCCATTCAGGTACTGGTCAGGCTCACACCTGCTTAGGTTCAGATGGTTGCCAGTTGTGAGTAGTAGGGTGATATACTGTACATGTTGTCTGAAGCAGTAAGTGTATGACACTTAGTATTCCCTGACAAATAAGGGATGTACATTGATTATTCATAATAATTTAAATCCAATTTAGAAATATGGTGTTAGGACTTGATTTTATTTATAAGTATCACACAAATCCTATTCTGATTCTATTCCAAAAATTAACTATGCTACAAGTAATATGATTGCAAAAAACAGATGTTATACATTTTCTTTAAACAAAGCTCAGCATACCTTTGCACTTGGATAATCCATTCTGATATAACTGCTTGATAAATCTCTGAAGCTCATAATCATTTTTAATGTCTGAGTCGTTTCTATAATAGTTGTTCACCACAGCGTCACAAAACCTACAACAAATGAGGAAAGCTTTATTTATTAGTCATGTTACTTTATTTATTAAAAATCAAACGAGCAAACACATTGCTTCAATGAAACAAAAAATCATCCTAACAGTTTTCATTTCTGTGAATAAAGAATTGCAATGGTATTTTTAATTTCGGGACTATAATAAATCAGAATAAGCAATAATGAGTGCATTTAAAACCACAATGAAACTAACAAGTACTGTACATGGTAAGGTGTACATACAACCTCACAAAACATCACAAAAAAGATTAAGTTTGCATAGCGCCATATCGCCGTGATTGTTTGTTATTGAGAACGAGGCAACAAAACTTCGGTGACATGAAAGTGGCCCTATTACACTGTAAATATGCTTTAGACAAAGTGAATTTTGCTGCAAAATTAATCTGATCCAGTCAGTTCATGATGTCCTACCTAGTCCATCAAACCTCTTCTTTTGGGGCAAAGGGCGATTCACCAGCATGCACTTTGTGCCAAGAACCAGGGACACTGGAGTACATTCTCAGCCCAAAAGCCCTTGGAGAAGGCCACTATAGATGGCACTACGACCAGGTGCAGAAGACCTTAGTGGACATTAGCAGGGGTATCAACATCAGCACCCAGTAAAACAGGCCATTGCGTTTGTCAGAACTGGTTAGCAGCCACAACCACAGTGCAAAGTATTAGCGGGTCTTGTGGCAACGGCGAGAGACTGGAAGCTGATGTTCAACCTGGGAAGGCAGCTTAAGTTCCCTGACACCATCATAGCTACCGCACTTAGGTCAGACATTGCACTGTTGTCTGAAGCATCTCAGCAGGTGTTCATGCTAGAGCTAACAGTTCACTGGGAGCCCAACGAAAGGAAGAGAGCCAAATATGAAGACCTGGTTAATCGGTGCCATTTGAATGGGTGGTGAGAATGACGCAAGCCCATCAAGGTGGGCTGCAGAGGGTTTGCAGGTCAATCTCTCTGTAGAATCTGTGTTATGGTACCGGTTTCACGTAATCTGGCCAAAGTCCCTTTAAGAAGGCGTAGACTTTGACCAGTCACTTAACCACTCACTTTACCTGTTCACCACCACACCCACAGCTGTTGGATACTTTAGGGCTGTCTGCCCTAAACTCAGTGCTCAGTATTGGGTTTAATCTGGTGAGCTAACTACCTGCGTTCTTTGATTTCTGGATTTCTGCGCATTCCTCGACTTCGACTTCTGTATTACGTCTTTGGTTTGTTGCCTAGTGCTTTACATGGTGATTGAACTTTGGTTTGTCTTTTTCCTCGACTTCTGGATTTGTTCACGAACTCGGAGTTCCTGATTACTCGGCTTTTGCTCTCTCTCAGTTACCTGCTTCCGAATAAGGTCCATCTTTTACATAACAATAAGCTTGCAGATCTTTACAGCCTGTAGTCTTTCAGACATAATAGAGGAGAAAACCATCAAAATCACCATAGAGGCTGCAGAAAGAGTCCCAAGATGGCTGTGGATCAAGAGGAGTGATCCATGAGTAACCCAGCCACCTGGAAAAAAAGCAGGGGCTTGAAGGTGTCTGATGTTGAAAGAAAGATCCGAAACTCCCAGTGACCCCAGGTAACATCACCAAAGTTGTGTCCAGGTGCATCAGAATTTTAAATACTTTCATGAAGCCATTACATACAAGTAGACTTACATCTAAGTACAAAAGTTTTGGAAAGGTGCTCTATCATTCACATTGGTGGTTATTTTATGGTAAATCACACCTAAAAGAAAAATTCTAGCAGGACTTATCTTTTTGGAGGACTTGCTGCGCCATAGCCTGTGCCGTCACCTGAACAGCTGATTTGAATAATCGTAATTGAATTTAATTCAACATATCGACATCAAAACGGTTTTGTAGACAAGTACTACTCACTTGTTACCTCAGCAACTCAACACAGTTAAGTAGACAAATACTACTTAGTTAACTCAACATACAGATCTTGGTTAAATATTTCTAGGGTGAAGTGTCTGGTGCACAATGTGTATTTATTAGATTGTGCACCACACTTAATCTCGTCCACAAACTTGTCGATGGCACCAACATCAATGCCAATGTTTATTATCCATTTCTTGGCTAGTTGACAATCCCTTGGAAAAGGAAACAGTTTGTTCTGTACAGTCAAATGCTTGACAGGGAGGCATTGTTTAAAATATATACAAGTTCAAAAAGACAAAAAAGGAATAACATTGTACGGAGATGTTTCTCGTTCACTTACAGCGACTAGTGAACAGGGAGAATCACTTTTACATCACAATTAGTGCATACTCGAGAGATTTCTCATCTGCTAGTGACAACATGGCTACCACAAAGTCATGATTTTGCACTTAATTCACAATTTGCAAAACTTTCCACTACCACTACAATTAATTTAGTTACCAGGATTTAATACCCAGTTTGAGAAACTGTTTTGAGGACTGCAGGTCCCCTTTAATTGCTACAGAAAATGTCTTGCAGCTTGTTTAAATCAAACAGACTGTAGATACGCAAGTGGTTATTTCAGTAAAGGACTCCAAACACTGACCTTCAGTCTGAAACAATAGTATGAGCCTACATCTGGTAGTCTAACTTGCCATGCAAAACTTGTGTATATTTTTGTGTATTAACTAAATGAGGCCTGAATCATGATTGTGTTTTGGAGCTGGTTTGGATGCTTAAAAGCTATCAGAATTTCTTTGTCTTTCTTAAATGCTTTTGTTCTACACTTGATTCACTTTAGAGGTTTGTGTTTTGCCAATAGTCTGATATGAAGGAAGTCAGGGCTCCTCTAGCATACAGCTGTGTTAAGGCAACATCCATTTATCCATTTTCTAACTGCTTCATCCAATACAGAGCTGCGGAGGAGCCAGAGGCTATCCCAGCAAGCAACGGGGGCAAGGCAGGATACACCTTGGATAAAACACCTGTCCATCGCAATCACAGGCCACACATGGAAACATCTACATGTACATTACATGCTCAGACCAGTGTAAATTTTCTCAGAAGCCAATTAACCTACCAGTATGTTTTGGGACTGTGGGAAGAAATTGGAGCACTCAGTGGAATTCTATGCAAACACAGGGAGAACATACAATCGATATGCAGATAGCACCACAAGAGTTGAACCCAGGGTCCCAATGCTGCAAGGTAGCAATGCTAACCACTGCACCACCATGATGCCCTCTTGGCAACATCTCAGTTCAAAAGAAGAAGAATGTCTTACTTATTTATTGCCGCCCAGATCATCAGCCCATCTTGTTTGTAGTAATAATTGCTCAAGTTCTCCACACCACGGTTTTTCAGGTCATCAGGCAGACAGAGGGACTGGTAGGTCAGCTGTTTGAAAGCCCTTTTTAAAATCTCCAACTGAGCACCTTTTCCAAGTCCTGTATTCTGTTAAAAGAGAAGTTGATATGTGAAGTTGGTAAGTCCAATGTAAAATAAAAGTATGAGTAACATTTTTTATTGTCTTGCCATAGCTAGTACCATTTGAGGACTGCTGGTAGCTGGTATAGAATTTAAACTGAAGTGAATCTAGGTACAATGGGTAACACCTGGGTAGTGTTACCAGGTGGATGCTGCACATTGGTGGTGGTGGAGGGTAGTCCCGATTACCTGTAAAGTGCTTTGAGTGGAGTGTCCAGAAAAGTGCTATATAAGTGAAAGCAATTATTATTATTAATTAGTGTCAACATTTCCAGCTTCAAAGCAAGGGGATGTTTGTTGAGATACAATGGTCCCAGATTCAGTGATCCAAGGGAGATGGGTTCCCATTCATTTTGTAGCTTTTCAGAGAGAGAGGTTGTATTAATTTAATTTAGAAGCCAGCCTTCTCTTATTTTGGCAATAATATGTGCTATTTAAAAGTTGAATACTTGGCAACAGTGGGTTTTTTCTGGGTGGTTAGGACGTTAGGCCTCTGGGATACCTTACTTGCAAATGTATACATAGTGTAAATTGTGTGTTGTAGTTCAATGTGAATATTGTCATTCTTAAGAAATATTTGTTAAACCCATTGTGCCTGAATTATCTCATGTGCCTCTAACTACACCAACCATTTAAATCTTTGGCAAAATCTTTACTAGTTGGGGGTTATGATTATGGATTAATCCACTCGGTTATTCCTGATATTTAACTAGTTTTGTAATCATTTGTAACCATTTTCAACAATACTAAAAGCAAAAGTGTAGTTTATACTAAGGTGAAAAAATATGTATTTGATTATCTTGCACATTTGTTAGAATGTCAAGGAACTCAAGTATCAGTGTAAACAAATGGCTAGAAGAGAGTTGTGGGTTCAAGTGCTCACTGTAGACAGACATCTATATCTTTGGTCAAGGCAATTTATTCTGAAAATGCAGGTAACCTGGAATAGGCTGAATGAATACTATAACTTTAATCAGTGGTATCTCTGATTATTGCTGAAGTGTTGATGCGATTGCAACCTGTTAATCCTGTAGCATTCAAACGAAGAGTTATATTTTTTTTGTCTCCTTCTTTATTTTAGGTTATCAAATATTTATGTAATCTCAGCAATCTAGTACTTGTGTTTCATAAAAGCCTGAAGACTCTGACTGAGATCTAGAAATTGAATTGGATGTCCTTGATATACAGTATAAGTACTAGAGATGTTCTGTCCAGGTCCTGGAGGGCTGCAGTCCACCAGTTTTCATAGGTAAGTCACATGCCTCAGTGAAGACCTGGAAACATTGATACTAGTGTCCATTTAAGTTAGTAATTGATTCGATTAAATTATTAAGGATCCAGGGTTTAATTAATATCAGAAGACAGTGTAGCCCTCCAGAACCAGGACTAAATATTAGTAATATACTGTATGACTACCTAGTCATTCAGAACCCATCGCAAACATCCTAACTCAAGCAGAAGTTTTTCAGATGAAAGTATAAGCCAAAACCAAGCATCATTGACAGACCTGAGTGAAGAATCCTCCCTCATTGACAAGAATGTTTCTGGCAATTACATTTATTGGGAGAGTAAACCTTCCACTTTCAGAGACAAGCTGAAAATCAAACATACAAAGGTTGTTTAGAATTACTGGTTGTTTAGATGGAATTTAGAATTCCATCTTGGCGTGAGGAGGCTGAGATTCAACCACATTGTGAGAGGAACCTTGGCATTTATGCTTAATTACAGGATGAAGAAACAACTACTAACTGTGTGGCTGCTTAGCTGAAACAAAAAGGATATATTTAAAATATGGACAGTATATTATATTGCCTTCCAAGGTACAGAAAGAATGAGTATCTGGAAAACCTGGGCAATATCAGTTTCAGTAAGTATATTTTTAATTTTCTGTGTATAGAGAAATATATAGTTCACAATAAACATCATATAGCTCTACCCATACTTTAATAGCCCCCCTTTTTTTGTTTTCAACCTTTTGACTTTCTTGAGCTCCACATACAAATGTAAACTATGGGAAAGTGAATTTAAAGGTGAGGAGGAAATTCTGTAGATAAAGGTTTGTGGAAGTATGAGACAAGGTGCCAAACCATGTTGAAACCAAAAATACAAAGCAGGCCATATGAGCTGAAAGGTCTTGTACTGTATGTTCTTATACAGTATGTGTGACAGAGCTGAGATATATGCTGAGACTCTGTTAGTCACCACTAGAGGGCCCAGGAAGACAAGGAATGACTCTCTCTTCCCTTCTCTCTCTTTCCTGACAGCCGTGTGAACACGCATAATAGCCTCATCAACAACACCTGTTATCTAATTGGAGACAACCATATTAGATACTTACGGCTGTCTTTAAACAAGAGACTCAAATTTTCAGCCTTAACGCTTGCCATTAAATTCAAGAATACCAACAGATCGATTCCCTGCCAGCGTTCTGTGTCCCCCAAAAGTATTGAATATAAAGCAGACAGAGCATGCAGAAGAACAGTCCATGCACTGTCACATTTCTAGCATTACTGCATGAATAACTGATATTTTGGAAAGTAGTTTGTGTAAAGGGTTTAGAATGCCTGTGAAGTATCTTTGATCCAGTACACAACATAAAAGCGATATAAATCATCCATCCATTTAACAGTGGGAGGTGGACCCTAACTCAACAAGTGACAGGTGCAAAGCAGGATACACCCTGAAAGAGATGCCAATCCATCACAAGGCACACAGACACAAATGCACATTCATAGCAAAGACAATTATTCCACAAGCCAATTAAGCTACCAGTATGTTTTTGGACAGTGGGAGGAAATCAGAGCACCTGGTGGAAACTAAGACAAATACAGGGAGAGCATACAACCTCCAGCATTGCCAGGCAGCAATCCTAACCACTGCACCACTGTGCAGCCCTGATGTATGTCAGTAAAGAAAAAATCCAAAAATGCTGAGAGAAATCAGAGGCTTTACTTACCCTCAGTAATGGGTGTTTTCTAGACATGGAAGTATAAATTGCAATGAAGAGGGCTTCCCCGACCAGATGAGTTTGTAAGAGGTGTGAAGACAGTTCATGAATATAGAAATCTGCATTTCGGACCCAGATCTTCGCCAGGAGCCAGGCATTTCCATCACAGGGAGTGTAAATTGGCTCATCATCTGCTGGTTTCTGTGTCAGCTAAGAATTTTTTTTGCACATTTAAAAATAAATTCTAAGCATATATTGACATATGCTTCTTATATTTTACACATGACGTTGCTGACTGAAAACAATGTATTATTGTAATTGCAAGAATAATGTGTGAACACTTTAAACTTAGACTCTTTATCCCCATAGCAGGCAGTATTGTTTACCTGTATAGCAATGGGCATCAGTGTATTGTCTTCTTCCTTCAAAAGAACAATTGGAGCTGCCAGGAACTGCTGGTGCCCACTGATTACATTTTCTCTGATTCCATCCAGCAGCTCATAGTCAACCACATAGATGATTCCTTCCTGTGACAGGGGAAAAAAACCCAATGAACTCAAAAGGCTGATCAAAAGGCTAAATAATGTGTGAAGGGTTAAATAAAGCTCTGCCTCGGGAAGGATTGGTGACCTCTGACCTCTCTCCACTTGAGTGGTCATCTCCAACATGGCCTGTGAACATTAGTCCATGTGCCAACAAAAGATAATGGAGAGGATTGAGAGACAGAAGAACTAAATTCCTTCATTTTCCCTATAGATACCCAAAAACTAACTGCCAACCCTGTAGTATGCCAAAGTTTTAAGGCCATTGGAAGAAGTGGTCTTGGACTGTATGTCATTAACACAATTACAGTGTCATGTGGCTATTTTTTCCTACGTGGAATTCAAACTTTAGTTCTTAAAACAGTAATAGATTTAAGGATTTAAGGAAAGCAGAAAATGTACTTACCATTATGCTTGCCTCTATATCAGGATAGAACATCTTTAGCTTCTTAATTGGGATCTTCTGTTTGTCCTCAGTATATTTTTTAATTAATAATGGATTACAGCCGTTGAGAAACTGACTACCAAAAAAGGCATCATCCTTCCAGTTTTTGGAAATGTACTCTACATCAAGCAAATGCAAAGCCAAATTTTTTAAATTATGAATGATATTTCTTAAAATACATTAAGTAAGTTAAATCTATTTGAAATTTGAATAATAAAAAAAAAGATTTAAAAAAAGGTTCGAAATTTTAATTGAAAATAATTGTATTTTTCATAAATGTGTCAGTAAAAGAATGAGAAATAAACATAATACTTGAGTAAAAATTAATTTTCTTTCTTGTGATTCTGGGGGTTTAACTCTGGCTTACGGTTCTAACTATTGAGGCTCTAGAGATCTTCATGGACATATGCTGTTTTAATGGATCTCTGGCCAAAATCAAAATGGTGATGTCAATTTGAAACCAAGAAATCAGCTTTAGTCCTTTTTACAGTGTTATGACCAAGTCTTAGAACGCCTACAGTAAAATCTACAGGGGCAAGGCTTGGCTTTGCAAACTAAGTTGCTGCACTTTTGTCCCCTTCAATTTTTAAGGATGCTGCAAAATACCTTTTCTGAACGACATACATGTAAGTCTGTCATCAAATTCAGACATCCATACAACAATCTGCTCTACTCCTGAATTTCATGCATTTTGCCCAGAGACTAACCTGCTTTTTTACTTGGAAACAAAAATACCCTTCTGATGTCTTCTATTGTTCTCCATCGGTGGCCCATATTCCAAAATTGACGTACATTCCTCTGTATTTTTCTATTTAAAAAGACAAATATTTATCCATACATTATTAAATTATTACATGTTGGTTGCAAAGTCGAATCAGTTCAATGAAATGAATTAATAGGCTACAGAATTAAGTTAAATTATATGATACAAACTTCATAGTTTAAATTACAGTAATATTAAATTAAAACATTAGCCAGATCAGAGGTCAGAGGTCAGTTAAGATAAGATGAAGGCTTACAAAAAATTTTTTGACTTCATTAATTTACCCTTATAAATGCAGCTTTAGTTGCAAGTCGGGTAAACTAGTAATGTACAGTATATAAGCTTCAGAAAAGTATACTGTAGCTATCATGCTACAATACCTCCAAAGAATTGTAAATTGTGTTAACGTTTGGAGGCATTTTGTTGAGTCATAATTACATTCCCTCTTGTGGGGGAAAACCCAATTAAAGTGCCTGAATAACGACTACAGGAAGTTAATATTTTTCATATGGAATCTCAATGCTTCACACAAAGCCAAAATCTAAAATATGTTAAACTTTAGTATATTTTTTTAACTTAAAATATAGCATATGACCATTTCATTATGGTAAAATTATAGAAAATAAGTACAAACAGCATATTAACCTAATCTGGCATTTCTATAAAATAATCAGAAGTGTAAAATGTAATAAAATGATCCTGCAGTGTATCCTCATGTTTTTAATTATTATGTGCTAATGGACTAGATATTTTTACTTACATTATAACTAGATAGTAAATCAATGTCAGAAGTTTAGGAGCATCAAACCACAGTTCACTTGGCAATTTGAAAATACTTCCAGCCTCTGTGAACCTTGGAAGTCCATTCACAATTTTTGTGCTGAGAAAACAAAAACAGCAATACTTGTGTGAGAGACGTTTTGTTGTTTTTGAAACGGTTTTTGTGTGAAAAAGCTTTATTTTTAACCCCTCACATTAGCCTACCTCTGAACTTTGACACTATATAGTCGAATTTCTTAAATATACTAGTACTGTACAAAGCTAAAAAAATATCTGGGGCTTCTTAGCAGCTGACCTGGGAACGGCTTATGTCCACAGTATGTGTTGATTCTCGCATGTCTTCCACTCACTTGTAAATTTTCTTATGTTTATTATGAAAAATTACATAAATAATACAACCCACTTATCATCTAAGGTCTACATCCCTGGTACATGCTGTGTTTCTACTATCTAGAAACAAAAACAAGCCTCTAGCAAATAGTTAGCTGACATTAATTGGATCTTGATAATTAGCAACTAGAGAGTAGGTTGAAGTGTTGATTTATTTAGTGTGGATACCAACTGAACAATCACTTACTCAAGAGGAGTCTCATCTCTGAAAACTATAAAAAGTTTCCTGGAAGAAGAATATAATAGCAGATCTTAGAACAGCTTGAGCACAAAAACACACAGGAGTATTACAGTATGTTGGGAACTGCTACCCTTCAAATTAACATTTTAAATTAAAAATGTTCATAAGCCTTTTTGTCAAATAATAACAAAACAAGTAGAATTCCAGAAAACTGCAAAACAGTATTGTAAGTCATGTGTTTGTTTTACGTCTTCAATCAATAAACTAAGATCATTGCCAAATAATCTGCTCTAGATTTTACAAATATAAACTGGGCTTTGAAATGTAAACTGGAATTATAAGGTAAATTTGTACTACATCAGATATTCATTGAAATACTAGATATTCAGTTTAATATTATAGTGTTGTAATTACGTAATACAAGATTGAAATACCACCAGATATTCAATTAAAAAAGGTCGTTACATAGAAACCTTTGAAACCAAAATGATGTAAGATAATTTCTTGAAACTTTCTGAAACCCTTATACTTCTGTGAACACTGTCATCCTTATAAGCTATTTTTATTACAACTTCTGTTCTAATTAAGATTATATTAAGAAATATTTTGTGATAATTTATTGAAATAAACTATAGAGTATATGTGTGAATCAAATCTAATTATTTTTTTGAGCTACAAAAACAGACTAAATATGAGCTTTCAAAATAATTTGGAAAAATCTCTAAAACAAAGGAAATAAGTTTTACTTACAGTGAGAATGACAAAGCTTTTACTAAGAATGATGTTCCTAGTAAAAAGTTATGTTCCTTTGGCTTTTCAGTGGGAACTTCACCAGATAAAGCTGTTAGGATGTGAATTTAAAATGTTATTACCTGAGATACTGTAAAACTAAACAGCAGAACACAGAGATGTTAAAAATATTACAAATAAGAAGGGCTACCCTGCCTAGCTTGCTCATTTGATTGTAATTTTTTTGATCTGTGGATCTTATCCATCAGTTCCTTGATGAATTTGGGGTCCAACTTCATCACATGATTGGGCTACTTGACCCAGACCCCCTCAACTTTATACATAAAGAAATGTAACCTGATCTCATTCATACTGTATGTGCACTTACTCTCTCTGAATCTCCTAACTAACTGATCCAGAAGTTTGTCCTCTGGATACATTCATTAAGGTTTCTTTTAAATTTTAATTAATAAGTATGATGTTGTTTTGGTGTTATGTGTTGCGTGGATAAAATAGATTTTCCTTTAAATTTTGGAGGGTCAGTTGCAACAAGGTGTTGAGAACACGAACAAAACTGCAGGTTGTAGGGATCCCAAGAAATAAACTTGGGATCCTCATCTTACATGAGAGTAGCTATTATTCTGGGTTAATTGAGACTGGGAAGAAGTTTAACACACATTCAGATCTAACTTAATGAAACCCTTTTAGTTGGATTTACAGTATACTATTCAGTTCAAAGTCAGACTTAAACTCACAAAACATGATTAAATTCAATTCAGATAGGCACCTCTGTAATTTAAGTTTAATATTGTTAACAATATAAAAAAATGTATACTTGTCTTTTGCACACTTAACTTTAGCTGTTTATAAGAAAAACTGTAAAGACAGACTATTACCTTGTTCTTTGACTGTAACTCTTTGTTATTATTTGTATTTGCTATTTGCCATTAAGTAAAGAAATGTTTGTGCTTGATTATGTATGCCCAGACAATACATTGTTTTTCTTTTTGAACATTGTGTCCCGTATGTCTAAAAACTTGTGATAGCACAGCGTAGAAATGTTTATTAAATTGGAATTCAATGGAATTAATATATTTTAAGATTTTGGTTGTGGAATAAATGCTGATTTCTTATTTAGTTATGTGTTTTGTACATTTTCTGTGAAAATAGGGTATTAAGCAAGCAAGTAACTTAAAAAAATATAGTAACAGTAACTTACTCTGTCTATAGGACTGCAAAAAAGAAAATGGAAAGCAATATTGCAGGAGAAGCAAAAACAATGCTTCATTTTAAACAACTTATTATTTCTTGTGGATTTTTACAAGGGTTCAATAACAAGGCCCATATCATAGAAAGAAACCCATCCTTACTGGGTAAAAATGAACACTGAAGGTCTACAGGAGCTAGGGCAGCCTAATCAATTGTCGGGATGTGATAGCTGATTCCCCATCATATTTAAGGGGTGAATATTTCTTTTTTAAAAAAATTTAAAACTAAGTGAAAACAAATCATATTAACAATGTACATTTTGACTTTTTTTGTTCCAGCCATATGGATTAAAAAGAAAGAAATGTCTTAAGTTGCTGTTCGATTTCTTGTGGCTTGGGTTGAAAGTGCTGGTCATTGCTCTTCACTGTTCAGAAAAAAAATAAAGGCCTTTTTCTAATCAGGTGAACAACTATTAAGTTATAGTAAAAATGACAATCAGAAATACTGTCTAAAACCTTTGTAAAGAGACGGGTAATGGTTTATTGTAAGGGACCTTTATTTAAGAAAAGTAAAAGAACTGTCATGAAACTCTTCCCATTTTTCTGGAAAAGATAACATAGGAAGAACTCTGGATTCTGAGTGCGGAGCTACTTCCAGTGATCTAATGTGAACGGTAATATAGGAGAGGGACGATACTTTTATTTAACTCATGATAATTGCTTGATTATAAGAACTATTGATATAGAAATGGTGTGTACAGGTGGGGGGAAGGACTAAACACAGACACAATATCAAGGGACTTACAGTAGATCATAGATTGGACAGATACTAAGATAAAGATGGACCATTTTTAATCATGCTGCAGGTGAACAAATATGAAGCTATAATAAAGATGACAGTAGGAAAAACTGTAAATGGCATCCTTAAATATTTTGAGGTGATGGGTAATGGTTTATATTAAGTCACCACATAACATTCTTTTGTATTACTTTATCTACTGTATATACTGTATAACATTATGCAAATAAACATCCTGTGCTCAGCTTGCCTAAGCTTTAAAGTGTGTATTGACTTCTTGTATTCACTGTAGAATCAAATCAACCATAGACTCAGAAGTGTGTAATTTCCTTAATTACTAGTCTTTTCACATACCCCAGCTTGCTCTCCAGGTGACACAGAGACAGGGAGAGAAGCTTGGGGTCAGAGCACAGGGTCAGCCACTTATACAGCACCCCTGGAGCAGCTGCTCATGGGCCCCAACAGAGTAGGATTCCTCTGCCAGCCATGGGATTTGAACCAGCAACCTTCCAGCCACAGGTACAGATCCTTAGCCACAGTGCCACCCTTTGACAAGTATTTTGGCTTCTGGTATCAAGATGTAAGTGCTAATTTTTAGCATTTTTTATTAAAATCCATTGGGCGTGCCGTAAACAGAATCCTTCAAATATTTAGCTTTTTATTTACAGTGTAAGGAACTCTAAACTACAAACTGAAACAAAACTAAAAAAACCTTTGCATCCTGCCTTCTGACCAGTTTTTAAAAAGTTGTTAGAAGATAATTGGTCAGATGACTGAGAGATGCAGCTCATTCCCAACAGTTTTATGGGAAATGTCGTCCAGACAAGGGCATTTTGTCTGAAGCTGCTGCCTAATTACAACTTTAATATTAATTTTAAATTTCTGACTTAAGATGTGTGTGCATATTACTTCACTTTGTATTTATGTACAGTATAGCTTGATCATGACCTTACTTAATTTTTAAAACATAATTAGAATAAGAACAGTAAATGAAATATGCACGTGTTAACAGTGTAATATATGACTTTAATAATTTTTCTTCTTTAAAAAGTGACTGCTAATTATCTACTAGTTACTTAACAAGAAAAATAAAAGAAATTCTTATGGCGATCTTATAAAAGCTGTAAACAAAGCAGAGACTACAGTATGTGCTGTCGAATTGGAGAGTTCTAGCTGTTCCTGATCTTTTCAGAGCTGTGTGCAAAAACTGCCCATCCCTGCTGATAAATGACAAAACTGCTGCAACCACAACAAAACTCAGCAAGCATTCGATGACACTGAAACTGAAACAATACTTCTTTGGATTCTTTTAATATTTGGAAACTTACAGTAAGTCACAATACTTTGGCTTGAAAAGTATTGCAGTAGCAGCTACTAGAGTCCACCAAAAGTTCCTTTTCTCTTGTAATTGGGATACTGTACCTGCTTGGAAATTTGTTAATTTGTACTTTAATGTTAGTGTTCCTAAAATTTAACGATGATTTCAGAAGTGGTGACCTAGTCTTAAAAGATGCTTGCACTGTTATGAAAGTTTGATTGCAGAAAAGACTGTTGAGGGGTTTGATTACAGAGAGAAGCTTATTTTAAGAATCTTCTTGTTGGAAAATCTGCTTGAAAATCTGCACGCTTCTACAGTTGCCAAAATGACTTTTTGTGTGTAGATCTCTAGCACTGCCCTAGCCAAGGGTGAGTTAGTACCAACAATGACAATGACTGCTGCAACAGTTTAGATATATTAGTGCTTTGTTGTCCTAATAACTGAACTAATAACTCATGTTCTCAATATGTATATTGAAGTGCAAGGTCTAAGGCTCTTTCCATTAGCTATATAATGTAAATCAGTGTGTCCCCACCGTTGATCCCCCAATCCAGTTAGTTTTGTAGGTCAGGCGATTTTAAAGATTACAGAAACACCTGTAAACTGTTGATGAATGAAGCAAGTAATCTGCTAAATTAAGAGCGCTCTTACAATTGACGACTAGCTTTTTAGTCCTAAAAGATCTGTAAGTTAACGAATATCCTGTTTAACTGATCAGAGTGCAATTGTGCCATATATATATATATCAAAATAAAATTAATGGTGACATACAAAACCTGCTGGATTAACATTCTCCAGGACCAAGGCTGAAGTTTCTTTATATAAATGCTTTCTATGGGCAGTGAACTCACATGCTATGGTATAAAATTTACTGTCAACCTTTCCCACATACAGTTGAAGTTATCTCAGCAGAACCTCCAGGAAGAAGTGTGACAACTCTGATACCACGTGCCTCTCTAAGTTCTATGTATGTAGTTCACTGATAAATGGACACATCTTTATCCCGGTTACAGATGTTCACTCCATAGGAATGTAGTGAATGTCATAAAAACTTTACCTGTTTGCTCAAGCTGTCTCCAACCCAACGTCACTAGGAATAAAAAAAAGAAACGTGATATTGAAAACATTAAATCGTATTAAATCATATTTAAATAAGGTAAAAGAACAGTCATGATACTCTTCCCCTTTGAACTCTTGCCCTTAGAATTCTGGTTTCTGTGTGCAGAGCTACTTCCAGTCAACTAACACATACAGTCATATAGTAGTAGGAGGATGAAAGTGAAAGTATTCAAGTAATGATAATTGCTTTTTACAAGCAACTTTTGACTTAATTTTTTTTTTCTCAGAGAGGAAGTGAATACCATGCTTTGGAAAGGCCGATTCTCTGAGATGCGTTAATGCAACAAATAAGTATTGGAACTAATAACATTTCAGCTTTTCTATCTTTTTAAAGTCTCTTGGTATACAATGATTTAAATAATAAATATGCAATCTGTAAGGAGATCTTTATGTGACCAAAGAAATCGCAAAAAATACAAAGTATTGACACGTTACTGTATGTAGGACATTATGTACAATATCTGGATTTTCCGAAAGCTTCCAGCTTTTTCCCAGGAATGATTTACGATGGCGTGTGGATTTAGAATCTAAATGTAAGATTCAGGCTAATTACACATTTTTCAGGTTTTTAAAAGCTTATGTTGAAAGAATTTAGGATAAAAACAGTAGGTGGTCCTGAGAAGCAGAGAAGCGAGTGCAGGAATGACTGGGCTCTTAGTTTGCCAGCTAAACAGTGCCTTGTGTGCTTTACCAGATAACTATGATGTTGCAAAGACTGATAAAACTTTTTTTTACTTCTCTAGGGTTTTATTATTACGTTATATTAGTACAGTAAAGCCTAACTGTCTGGCACGGCTGTAGGTTAGGATAATGGCTAGAAATAAACTGATTTAATTTTGGCTTGGGGATGAATTATTAGGGCATTGTAGCTACTGTACTCTTGAACTACTAGTTAGGACTGCACCTCTCTTTCACTGTTAGTGCCACCTGTCCTTGGGAAGGACAGAGTTAGAAAATGTTATTTCGTGCTCATTAATTAAAAAACCAGAGTGAACGATTTTGTTAATTTGTGCACACGAATTGTAAATCGTTCCCTTAATATAAGTATTTTTTCTTACTGATGGTCCCTCCCGGGCTCCGTGAAAATTTCTCTCAGATTGTGGTGGAAATATAAATGTTCAGCAAATTGTGCAATGGGGGGCAAAACTCCTGTTAATATCCTGTTGTTAGAAGATTGTCCTTTTATTGAAACAGGCTGTCAGTATTGAGTTACCTTATTGCATACAATAATTATTAATTGCACATTGAAACTTAACTTACCTAAATAATTATTTCTGTCTTTCAAATCTTTCTCTCTCTCTTCCGAAAGGTCCTCACATGGCAATTTGCCTAACATCACAAAACAAAAGGTATTATATTGTAGCTGTTATGTTATTGCTTTAATTGTTTTTGTAGTTTATGATAGATACAACAGGATGGCTAAATCAGTATTTTTCTTACATCACTTTCACAAAAAGGAGTCTATATGAACCATTTGCTGACAATGCGCTTTGAAAAATGGGCAAGATCTAGAACATCTAAAATAATATTTCTTACTTATCCAATAATTAGTAAAATATAATACAGAAATTAACCTGAAAGAGGGAATGCAAACCTTAAATTAATATAATTTTAAACTAGAAGCCCACATTTCCTTTGGTAAGATAAAAAATAAATACAGACATCTCCCAAGCTAAGAACATAATTTGTTCCATTAATACTGTCCGTTAAGCTTACACTTGTAAAGATAAAATCAGACTAAAATAAGATTATATTTTAATTCAGAGGGAGCAAGCTAGTTTTCATAACTCCCAAAAAGAGTCACTGTATGCCTGTCTGTCTTGAAGCTGCCTTGCCACAAAAATAAGAGAGTATCAGACATATGAGAGAATATAAAAACTTCCCATCATTAGTAATCAAGCAATATATGTACAGTAACAGTTTACTTTGAGAAAACCTTAATTAATTATTGTAAAACGTAAAAGAATAAATAAACAAAATCCAAAAATAAAGTTTCTGAGATGCTTAGACATTTGCCAGGGCACTGAAGTGTATTCTTCTATGTACATTCTGTTCTACTTCTTACCTAGAAAGATCCTCGCTAATTAAGTTATCTTGTTTGTTATAGAGGAAACATTTGTTTTTTAAAAAATGGGTATAAATTTGCACATTTGATTGTAGTGAAAATTAATAAATGTGTTGTTTATAAATTGAGGGATGCCTTTTCAGTATTTCAATTTACAAAACAAAAATGAAAATCTGACAATAATTGGATAATACTGAAATTATTGTAAAATTGAAATTTCACAAAACAAAAAAGTGGATAATCACTATGTGTTCCAGAGCCTTTTCTGTCCGGTTTATATACTCAGCAGATACCAGTATTTCTGTGATGCAAAAGGCTTTCTTCTCACCTGATTTTTCCTTAATGGTGGTCAGTCCAGCAGAAATATTTCTGAAGATGGGAAAATAGTATGTGTTCTCATCAGGACTGGTGGCTGTCACATACCGACAGTACCATTTACTGAAAGTACGCAAAAGGGAGGTTTCTCTTCGTATAAGAATTTCTTCAGGCTTATTCTCAAAGTCAATAATCTTGAAAAAAAAAGATGGCGCACTATATCAGCATTTTAGCAAATAAGCAATTGACATCAAATCAAAGTTTATTTATCAAATGCACAACAATACAGCGTGCAGCAGTAGTTGCTGGCAATGAAATGTCTTTGGAGCTCGCAGGACGGCAGCCTTCCCTGTCCGTGCCCTCTTAAAAAGATGTACTGTTGAATAACTATACAACACAAGATATGCCTTATTTTGTGTAGTTTTGTATGATGAGATTTATGATAGAGAAATTTAAGTCAGGGCTTAAGTACAAGCTAGAAGGTAAAAGGAAAAATGAACATCCAGACTGACAGTCAACACTGGCCGAACAAGAGCAAGTGTCTGATACCCAGAAGGAATGTCTTCATTACTTCAAAATACACATATTTAGCACAAACTGACTTTGGGTTTAGATTCATAGTAGGTATATCCTTTTCAGGTTTTAAAAGCTTTAGGACAATAAAAAATAGATTGTTTAAGATCACCCATTATTGTGCTACAGGTATGAACTACCACACAACACACACACTCAAAGATATTGAAGTGTGCTGCTTGCTTAGAGGAAAAGTATGGTTATGGTTGTTAATTTCACTATCAATAATTTAAAAGCAGAATATAGCATCTTTTAACACTGTTCTTACACCAGACTAAGACAAATAAAGGTTCTGAGGTTGTGTGCAAATTCAAATTTGATAATCATGTTCTCCTGACAGTAGAAAAACAATAGGATTAAAGCTGATATTCTAACACTGATAAAGAAAATATTCTACATGAGGCCAGACCATCTGCGTTTCATCTCTCTTAAACTCTCAGGTACTGCCCTCAGCTAGTTATCTATTCAACTGCACACCCAACTTTTATATGGGTTAAATACTTACAGTATCCCCTTCTTTTGCAATCGCTGTCTCTTGAGATTTTATGTTTCCAGTTGACAGAATGACCCAGATTTTGTCAGATGAGGGATCTGCTTCCACTTTGATGATGTATCTAGTCATGTCTTGAGCATGAACTTTGTTCAAACTGAGATGAGAGAGCAGTGCAGCACACACCTGTGACCACCTTTTATACTGTCTCGCAAGTATGCTTATGACATTTTTCTCAGTTACCTTGTTGCTCAGCATTTTTTAGCTGTTTTCTATAGATTGTGTCTCATTAATACGATTGAACTATCTGTTTTGTTCTTCTCAAAAGAAACATACATTTTTTACGTATGAAAAACATCTAGAAAATCCTGTTTTTCTGTTTGCACAAGTCAATCACTAAGATCATGTTTTGCAGAAACAACAATTATTAATCCAATGTCAATTTACATAGTGTAGTGACAAGGAGTAAGAGACAAGCCCGCCCTTCTGGTTGAGCTTGTTGCAGACCTGTCAGCAATTATCTTCTCAATCTACTCACTATCAATGTTTCTTTTTCCTTCATTTACTTTCCCACTACGCACAACTATCAGCATCTAAACAAAGTTCACTCACTATTTATCTGTAAGTCTTTTAAAAATATTGCAGCTCAAAGTCTTAGAGTCTGGCAGGTGCTCAACCCTCCCAGAGTCCTTCTTGATCCTTACAGTAAAGACTCAGCAGTTGTCACTCGTTGCCAGAGAGGCAGGAATGAAGAGGCAACCCCAACAACTCTTATGACTCGTTTCAGACCCATTTTCTGAGTTTTACAGCTGCATGTTCACAGCTTACCAGTGGGCAACCCTTCCAGCCCAGCCACCACCGTTCACTGATACTGTTTGCCATATTTTTCACACTCTTTCACTTCTCTCTGTCATTTGTAGTTTTCAATCACTTGGACATGACAAGGTGGGAGAGAAGACCTGCTGCAGTCCGGAAGACCATTTCCTTTGGAACTCTCCAGAGCATTCTGGCTGTCAGAAAAACTCCAGGCTTCCTGATCTCACACATTCTTTCTCTTTTGGGGAAGATTGTGGGTATTCTTCACCTGCTGTCTTTCTACCCACCATTCATGCAAGATCTATGTCTAGATATACTGTATTACGTGTTTCATATATTGATTTCATTGTGATTCACCCTTCACAAAGCACAATCACACTTAAGTGTTAACAATTTTTTCCAAACTTCCTGATCATCTGTGACCAAATCCTCTGTGGTGTCTCCTCAGCACACATACAATCAACAGCCTACGGCCAACTGTTGTCAAGCCCTGACATATTGCTGGTGATTGCAGTCGCTGCTGCCTAAAAGTCTGCTTTCACTGGTCTTTCTCTTAGAGCCCCTGCAAATGTAATGAACTCCAATCCAGTCACATTTCATTCGACTCTTTGAGGCACTCTTGTGATATACAGTATGAGGCCTTGAAGCTCCATTAGAGGGATCTCTGGTGGTTCCATCTGCCAGTGTCTGGTTTGCTAATATGCTGTCACAGGGAATTATGGGTTTGATATCTCAGCTGGATACACTGCTTAGGAATTTTTAGATGGTAAATTACTGTTTCATCTTAAGCATACCTTATATTACACATATCAGATAATAATAATAATGTATTGGTAGTGTTAAAGATACATTGAAGCATTCAGTGTTGTAAGGAAAGTGATTCCCCTCACTTTCACTTTCAAGAGTGGTCTTGAGTGGTCCTGAGACCAGTTCTCTGTATGCTGGCTTTATGTTAGCTGTCCTGAACCTGAAGCTGTCGTTTCCAACTATTAGATGGTGCCTCCACAATATAAAACATCAAATAAAACAAAAGACTTTAGGAAAAGACTATCTAATAATTCAAATGAGCACATCAGATTGGCAACAGGCTTCCAAAACTACCAAACATTCCAGACAGGCCAAAAGGCTTCCTATAATTTGTAACCTTCGTGATCTTTTCTATACTCTATCTCCTTGTTCTTCAACATGCTTTCAAAAGCAGTTCCCTGGAGGCTACAGTGTTGTTATGATGATAGATCAGGACCCTATGCAGACGGCAGAATCCGGAAGGGAGTGAAACTGACACAGGGAGGAGACGACGTGGAACTGGGCTGGTAGACGAACAGGGGGGTGTGACGACTGTGCACCGGTGCTCTGGGGGGCATGGTCCAGGCGAACAAGTCCAAGGGAGTCAAGGGGGGAAATCTGGGGGAGTCTACAACTGGGAAATCCAGACGAGATGAAAACAAGACACAGTTGAAAAATGGAATGGGATCTGGTGCAGGGAGAGGGAATAAAAATGGGGATAACGGGACCAGGCACTTTGAGCCCCGGACAAAGCTGGGTGAGGACACCAGTAGGAGGCCTACTGTATGCCCTCAAGCTGCGGTCGTAGGGCGTCTTGGTGGTAGGCAGGCCTCCGCGTGTCTGTCTTCCAATGCAGAGCCCGGAATAGTGTGAGCGTCTGGGCTTATAAGGAGGGGCTGGATTGGTGGCAGGTGCACATGATCAACTAAAATGTGAATGAGCCGGAGTGCCCTTAACAGAAGGGATTACAATCATGACAAGTGTTACTTGTCCTTTATTATGCAGTTTCATGATTTTGCCTATGAATTTCCTTTGACCTGCTTAATATCTGCATTTACATAATTTACAATTGTTTAATAGTATTATCATGGTAATGTTATCAGAAATGTGGGAAAAAATCTCTTTTATTTGAACAGATAAACGATGTATTGTAATACCTTGTTTAAACACCAAGGGCAGGTTTAAAACAGGTATATAAAACAGGTGATATTTACCACACTAAACCCTTATATGTCTATGTTCTTTGAAAACACAGTCAGGTTAATGTGATAATTTACACAATGCTAAACAACCCTGTTTTAAGATAGTGGCGAAGTTGATCTATGTGAATTTAAATCAGGCCTGCTTCATTTCATTAAAATGGATGAGTTTGTTAGGAATAAAAATAATAAAAAGAAAAGGCTTATGGAAAGAGAGGAGGAAATGGTTGGAAAATAGAGAATTATAAAAGTGCCAGTTGCTAAGATATACAATAGTACAGAGTTCATACATTCTAATTCAAGACAAAAGGCATAATATTACATTAAATTCTTAAGAAGATAAACATTTTCCATTATCTCTATCAGGTATTGAACACAAGCAAAATGAAAATGCAAACTATATAAGTGTGCAAACTAGAAAAGCTTGGTGTGTTCTTATTGTTTATATTCCGGATAGCAGAGAAGTAAGCGTTGCTGTGGAGTACAGGTAGAAGAGTTTCTGGCTGGAGCAGAGTATTGGACTTTGCTTCCCTGGTGCAGTTGAGTTCTTTGCTACCTCTTCTCTTCGACATGCTGGCTTCCCTTAGTCTTGGCATCCAGTCCTCTTGGACTAACTTCCAAGGGTTCAGCGTACCCTTTTGGAAGAGAATGATGCTAGAGATGTGGCAACAGATCCAGTACTTCATGCATACTTTTACCAGTAAGGACTGAAGGATGCTATTTTAATGGGTCAGAATTCGGATTTGCTATAAAAGCAATGGGAGGGGGTTGTATACTTATTTCTCCACTAGAGGGGTGACTTGGTTTTCCAAAACCTGGACCCTCAGTCAATATGGATGGATCAGAATAATCTGTGCTCTAAATTCGAGATCCTTTCAATAATGCTTGTTGCAATCAGAATTCTGATTGGTTCATTTGTTTTATTATAAATTGATCTTTAATTCAAGACCAGACAAGTGATATTTGCTTGGATACCCTTTGTTTATTGAGGTTTAATGTAGTAAGTTATGTTTCTATTGAGTACAACCATGTGATTTCTTCATTTAATATCAACAGGTAAAACATGCTGTTCGTGGTACATAGGATAAATATACCTGCCCTTCTAATAATCATTATCTATGGATTGACTTCTTTACTCTGTTCATGTCTTCACTGATAGCTGATGTGTGATGAGGGCACAATTTCATATTCATCAGAAAAGTGTATACAATACAGTATATAGCATGCTTAAAACAGACATTACAGATTTGGAGGAGGAACATGAGCAGGTACTTTATCAGTTAAATGTAAAAAAATTGAATATGATATTTTACCATTTAAGACTCATTTATAAAATAAGATCACTTTATTAACAATCTCTTGCACTAGGAATTTGTCTTTTTGCATACCCCAGCTCACTCTCCATGAGACTCAGACAGGGAGAGAGAAGCTTGGGGTCAGAGCACAGGGTCAGCAATTTATACAGTACCCCTGGAGCACTTGGGGTTAAAGGCCTTGCTTAGGGGCCCAATGTAGTAGGATTTATCTGCCAGCCACATGATTTGAACCAACAACCTTCTAGCAACAAGCACAGATCCTTAGCCACAGTGCCACCACCCTGCTCACTAGTTATAGTTTGCATGAAAGTGATGGTACTAAAACAAGAAGAGGTTCTAGAGGCTATTGCATGTCTGCAAGGAGAACACATCTCCTGGGTTAGATGGATTTCCAATTGGCCTTAGTTGACCTGGGTTGATTGGCCTCCTTGCGGACATGTATAGTGAAACATGTGTCACGACCGCCAGCCAGCAGAGATCGACTCGTAAGCGAGCTAATCAGCACCGGCAGCGAGTTATTATTAACAAGCACTGCCGCACGAGTTAACACACCTGCAATTGCTCTACCGTGCGGCGCACCGGGTTATTTATACCATTCTAACCTGCTTCCCGTTGCTCGGTATTGAGTAACCTTCTTGTAAGCTCTACCTAGCGTTTCTTTGCTTTTTTTTTTGCCTTCCTGGAATTTTGGACTACGGATCTCGCCATGCCCCTCGGATTGTTTGCTATCAGTGTCTATACCGGATGTACTGTACTACCGCTCTCTTTTCGACCTCGATTCTGTCTCACGTGTCTCTACCGGATTTTGGCCTACCTTACACCTTTTGACTACGATTCAGCTTCTAGTTTTGGTTTGTTCGCTTACTTACCTCCCTACGACTCCTGCGGCATTGGATGGCATTGGATCCTTTTCACATCTTCAGAGCAGCGTTACAGAAATCGGTGCGGGAGCCGGCGAAACAGGGGAAGAAAAAAAGCCAGTCGACCTGGTTAGTGAGCTGTTGGAGTGAAGATTTAAGCTGGGTGATAGTTAGGGAAT